CTAATTCGTGTCTAAACCCCCCTGAGTAAGTCTCATCATCAAGCCTTTGCTGCATGGACCACGTCTATGGTATAAACAGACCTACTGTCAGCCAACTAGCTCTAGTCTCTGCAGCGTCTATCATGCTTCTATCCGTAATACCAAGTCTATGACTTTTTATGTTCTAGTCTCTTGTGTGCCAACCCACAAGCGTTGTGGTTCTACTTGTTTTGATTAGGCTCACTGAAGACGTCTCCTCTTTTCTTCTGATTGTTCCTTTCTCGTCGCCCTGTGATCTCTTTTGCTAAAATTAAGGATATTACCCTGATCCAGTCGTCTTCTTTTTGCTGATCTTACCGTTGCCTGGTCTTCTCAGAGTTCGTTTAGGCAATATGCAGAGTTTTCGTTCATCCTGTCTTCTTCAAGTCTCCTGTGCATTGGATTTCTTTCGGTCAGTATTTCGATTGCCTCTCGGATCTTGCGTTTTCCCGTATTCTCACCAATGCAGCCAACCTTTCGGTCGATTTCAAGTCGATTTCGTGCCTGGTTCGTGCAATGTGTTCCGCTATTTCTGATCTTTCCGTATCCATGTTCCTGCAGATTCTTTGATGTTCTTTGATTCATGAGCCGATTTTTCTTCCTCTTTGACCGATACACTTTTGCTCACAGTTGCCGCATTTGATGCGATAAACTCCCGAGCAAGCATTTAGTCAGTCATCTAGTGCTGCGTCGGCAAACTGGTGAAAATTATTGTCTCCTTTGTTGTCACCTTGATATTCCATTTCCTTAGTAACGGTCACAATTGATGGCTCACTTCTGTCGCAAACGCTATCACTGTCCTGAATTCGAAAATCCTTGATATGAACATTACTTTAAATAGAGCCTACCTTCTTTCCTTTACTAATGATATCGGTCAATAGACTTATGGGTTTTGTGGCTTTGTGAAAAATATTAAGACTTCAGCAGAATAATTTTTTTTTCAAATTGTTCCAAATCAGTAAACTCTGATTTCTTGATGGCATGCGTTCGACTTCCTACTGCAGTGATTATTTGGCCTCTTCCTCTTAGCTAAGAATCTCCTGTCATATGCACATAAACATTTTTTTGGGTCTATAGATAGCCTTTGGTTCTTACTTTTTTCTCTTTTTCATTTCCTGTTTCACTTATAGTGCAAACCACTTCCTTATCATTTTTGCTTTATGATAAGCTTAAAGTTGTTTACTTCGGTTTCTAATTTATGTTGGGGCTAGATCCTATTTAGTACTTGTTGAATATGTTTTTGTACGATGTCTCACCATGGATTAAATATGTCTTATATTCTCTCAATATTTGGATTAGTAACTGATTTATTAGCCGAGCACAGTAGATTGATGTCCAATTTCTCCTGCCCTCTTAAATTATGAGCGTTAAAAGAGTCTATGCCGCCTTATCGGAGTTTGGAGGGCCGACTGTTGTTTTTCAAATAAACATAAACGCTGAAATTATTGCGTTGTCTCTCTTTCATTTCTGGAAAATTCCGTATTCCACACGAATAAGGATGAATGCTGCTATTCTTTAGGTTGTTTTTTTACTCATTTTTGTTTACGAAACTATATAGGTGTAATATATAGGTGTAATATCTATCCCATTTATTAATAGTTATAAATTCAATTATGCATAAAGGGCATTAATGTATTTTACGATACAGTAAACGGAGTAGGACTATTTATCCTTACTAAAATGTTGAAAAATGTGCGTTGGTGGTCAGTATGTATATTTCGAAACTGGGCCGTGCGCATCGTGGCGGCACGTTAGCACTATTAATGTGATTTGCGAGAGGCCTGGCATTCTTTGAGGGTTAAATCTGTCCTGCGTCCTATTGGTATTAGCGGCTATTCAGTGGAACTGGGATATCGCAGTGATATTCAGGTTCAGTTCTAAAATATCGTTTGGGCCGTTGATGTGATCGAGGTTGCAATCCACCTTGGATAAGAAAACATATTGAGTGCAGGGATAAGGAAAATTTGATATCATAATGAAGCCTAGCTATAGGAAAAACTCCAAAATCAGCCTTAAATCCCTTGAGCAAGTGGAATTAATACATTTCATAAAATTATTTGTATTTGGCCCGAGTAGGCTCCAAATTTACTAGTAGCTTTTAAGTTAGAACTGTATTTACTCTGATTAACATCAGGCGATGAAGTATTGATAATTGAATTTTTCTGCAATCATATGCGACCTACACATATCATTGTGGAAACTTCAACTAGCATTCCTCCATCATCTTTTTCGATCTAGAGTGACTACACTTCCTATTCAGAAGCTATGTTTTTTATATCATATCTGATCATTTTTTCAATATGATTCATCACCCCAGGGCTTAAATTCACTGTTATTGTTTTAACTTTATTGCCC